CCCAAAACCCCAAAACCCCTTAAGTTGATGCATTGATCTAATTGAAGTCAATTGAGTAATTAATTTTTGATAAACTTAACTATATTCATTCTTAAATAAATTTATACAAGTTATTGATAATTTTATCAAGTTTTAATTGGGTTTAGATTCTTCCTTCTATTTGGCATACTCAAGATAGTTCGTTTTCAATATTTATTATTTATTTTTAATGCATAGTGTAATTTGCAAACTGTTTCCTTTAAATCCCTGAAATTTAACTTACTAATCTGATATTTTTAGATTGCTTTTATTTCTTTGATCCAATTCAGAAAATCGACATCTCTTTACCTAATTTTTTTTTTATTCTGGCTTTTTTCAATGATATTGCTTATAATATTTTTATATATTTATTTCTTCAACTTTTTCCCGCTTAATAAAACAACAGCTAAATGGATCATTTTTAGCTCATAATCATCAAATATCTAAAATAAATTTTCCTCATATATTCTTAACCAAGTTTTAGAAATCATCTCTTCAATTTCAGATTAATAATCAATTTATTCTATATTACTATTTATAATGCCTACTTAATCAAATATTTTATCTAAAAACAATAGGCTTTCACACAAATAAGAAGTGCTATTAGTTCTAATTTTAAATGATATTTTCATCAGTACCTCAATTTCCTATAATAAAATCTCTCGAACTAATGAAAGTATGTTTATGATATACTCTGGCTTAATTGGGTTATGATCCCAGTATTTAGATGAGATAGTCAGACATGCGATAGATAATTTTTTCAAATCTTAATCATCCATTTCTAATAGTCTTTATTATTCTTTTTAGGTGTACTAATCAAGAATATCTATTGCGGTTATCAGTGTATGAGTTTTAGTTTGTATTGAATCCTACAGAATTACAAATTTCATAATCTTTATTGCTTTGCCTCTTACAGTAGATTATGCTATATCAAAATCTTTATTCTCCATTTTCTTTTTTACAGGGTTTTCTGGGTCCTATAAGACATTATAGATAACCTAATTGATACTACTCTATAGAAGGCATTACTTTTTATCACAATGTAGACTTTAATCGCTAGGAAACTATTAATAATAGTCTTGAGATCTGGTGGATTTAAGATCATTCTACAAGTATTAGTTCTATATTTATTATGAAGTTTTTTAGAAGAATTCATCATTACTAATCGATTCCTAAAATAAATTTATGCCATCCAATTCCTTAGCTATCTGTCTTTAATTACTTATGTCATATATTTGTTTATTTTTTGGTAGATTAACTTAAATATTATTAATCTAATCTTTATCATTATTATTTGCTTATCAGTTAACTTCTTTCATTTATCGAAATTTCTTTAGCAGCATTTCCTATGTACCCTTGTTTTAATCTTAACTTATGATAGTTCTTAAGTTATTAAGTTTTATATGATGTTTGAATTCATATAATTTTAAATTCTAGCTAATTTGATTATCCTTAAACTCCTCTTCAATAATGAAATTATCAATCTCTAACTTTTCTGAATTTTAATCACATGAATCACCCTTTTTATTTTCTGATTATTTAATCTAGATTAAGCTAAGTCAATATTAAAAGTTTTGTTTTTTCTATTCAATCTCTTCAGATTTATCAACATAGTTACTTTCTTTATGCATAGAATTTTTATCAGAGTTTTATTTATTTATTATATGCATTAGCAATATTTTGAGAATATTTAATCTTGTTTTTATATCTTACTTTATACTTCTTTTATCTATCTATTGGGGTTTTGGGGTTTTGGGG